CTACCAGGACCACGATTACCTTGGATCTTCCCTGAATGATCAGATGTAAAAGATCATATTTTTCAGGGTGTCTCATAATATGACCGAAGTATTCCAGCTTGCGTTTCTTTATTATATTGACCAGTTGTGTTGTTTGTTCAGCCGTCTAAGGACCTCCTCATTTCTAACTCTGTCGACCCAGCTTATTTTCAGTAGTCGTCTGTATACCCACATCTCAAAGGCTGTCAAGCGTTTAAGCATAGCCTCAGTTAGGGTCCACGCTTCTACTCCATACAGCAGGACAGGAAAGATGTAGCAAGATATCATACGAACTCTAAGGTCAATGCTAAGATCATGACTGCAAAGTACGTTTCTCATTTTTACAAAGGCAGCTCGGGCTTGTTCTATTCGGCTTTTAATTTCTGCGGTTGGATCCCAGCTCTCATTGATATTACTGCCGAGATACACGAGTTTCTCTACTCTGTCCAGTGTGGCATCTCCGACTTTTATACCGTCATCATGTATATAATTTTGTTTGCTAACTATCATATATTTAGTTTTCTTAACGTTGAGTTTTAGTCCCATACTGATCACAAGTCTGTTTTATTTTGTTCATTAGATTTTGAAGGTCTTCTCCGCAATTGGCAAGGACTAAGGTATGTCGGCATATCTAATATTGTTGACGGTTACTCCATTCACAATAATACCTTCGGTTGTCCATTAAGGCTTCGTTAAATATTTCCTCCGAATATAAGTTAAAAGTAAAGGCGACAATATACAGCCTTGTCTCACTCCTCTTTTTATATTTATTTCATCCGACAGTTCTTGTTCAACCTTTATTCTTGCCACTTGATGCAGTATAGATTTGTAATTATTTGTAGATCTTTATCGTCCAATCCAGCTGTTTTCCAATATTTCTAGCATTTTGTTATGTCGGACTTTGTCAAAAGCTTTTTCAAAATCGATTGCACAAATATACACATTTTGATTTATATCTCTGCATCTCTGTACTAGCACCTGTATACTAAACAAAGCTTCTCTTGTACCCAAGCCACTCCTAAACCCAAATTGAGTATTGCTAATTCTGCCGTCCTAACATGAAAGGTCCTATCTGCAAAATTTGGTAAAATGACTTTATTGGCTCACGGCATTCGTAAACATATTATCTATGTATGTACAAAAATGAAATTGTCCTATAAGCGTCTTAAGTGCCTTATTATATACCTAAATGGTTTGTCCTAACTGACTAAAAGCCATGTTCACTAACATAAATTGTCCTATCTCACATATACTAAGAAAAATTGTCCGTTTTAACTTTAAAAATGCAGTTAGGACTATTTAAGCTAGTATTTTATACTGAGCGGCATCATTTAGGACAATTTTTGCCTAGTATGATATAAGCATGTGTGTAACATAACTTCAAATAATTAATTAAAAAGGGTATTTGTTATTGGTCAGACATTGGGAATACTCTCATGCTTTTTGGTATTTTAAGTAAATATATTGTGAGAAATGGATGAAGGGTAAGTTTAATAATGTTACCTTAGGTATAAGCAAGAACTTATCGTAATTATTGTTTGTAGTAGTAGCAAAAAATATAGACGCACATGCGTCTATATTTTCTGGTTTGTAGCAATGCAGCATGTCGTAGTCAGAACAGCGATAGGTGTAAACGTATGGGATTTAGCCAAAAGCGAGAATGATCCAGATTATGCACCTGGGACGTCCAATAAATTCGACAATAATATAAATGGAAATGAGTCGGATTCTAGTTTCGAATCTAACTATTATCATTTATGTTACATATATTACGAAGTAAATTGTGTACTAAGTTTTAAAACTTCTTCTTCTTTTTATATAGACATGACTCTGTCTGTTTTTCAATGTACCTCCAGTAAGTTGGCGTTTCATCGTTTTCGTGGTCTTCCTACTGATCTCATCGTTTTCGTGTCTTCCAACTGATTGTCTTCTTATTGGGGAACCGTCTCTTGCCGTATTTACTACTCTATTTGTTGTCATTCGGCTTGTATGATCGTTCCATTCTACTCTTTCTATTTCTTACACAGTTCTTAATATTCTTACTTTGTCTGATGTACCTCACCTTGCATATACATTGTATCTCTGTCAAAGTCAAATGCCTTCTTAAGGTTCACGAAACATAGATATGCCAGTTTGTTGTATTCTAATGATTTCTCTTGCATTTGCCTCATTATAAATATAACGTCGATGCATAATCTTTCCGACCTAAAACCTTGTGGTTCTTCTGCCTGTGTTATAATTTCATTCAGTTTATTTGTTATCACTTTGGTTGTTAATTTTAGTGTTGTGTTTCATAAATTAATTCCCATTCCCTTGATCTCCATTCTGAGGAATACTATTTTTTGTTCTATTATTTTATAAAACTTAGTATAATAAAATTAAAAGTGTTCAGTTAATTTGAATTTTACTTTTATTTAGGACAATTTCAGTAAGTAATACAAAAAAACGTACTTCAGATACACTAAGCTAAATTGTCCTAAGTGGCAATTTAATCAAAAATCGACTAATCTGGAAAGAATAAAACAAAATTCTGACTAGCAATTAAATTCTATTCTCTGACATAATATATAAAATAAAACATAAAGACTTCTTTAAATTACCAAGCGTTATACAATGAAAAGAAACAAAAACTTGATTTTCTCAAAACCTAAATTTTGCAGATAGGACCTTTCATGTTAGGACCGGCAGAATTCTGTCCTCTAACAGCGTATACATTCTGCTGTGTATTACTCGCAGAAAGATTTTCAAAACGTGACTCATCAGACTTATTGTCCGATAATCACCGCATGTCTTTGGACGATGTTTCTTAGGTATTGTGACAAATGTCGACTTTAACCAATCAGTTGGTAATATCCCAGTGTCATAAATTCTGTTAAAGAGATTACACAGAGCTTTAATTCCATTTTCTCCCAAAAAACTTTAGTATTTCAGCACTTACTTCATCGGGGCCAAGTGCTTTTCCATTTTTTGCCGTTTGTATTGAACGTCCTTACCTCACTTTCTGTTATAGATGGACCTGATATAGCAATCGGTGTATAGTGTTCTACTCTCTCAATCTTCAAATAATTCAGAAATGTAGTTTTCCCATTCTTTTAACTTTTCATTGATGTCTAATATTCTGTGTCCGTTTCTGTCTTCTAAACTTTGGGATACTTGTTTCCATTTGTTTCCAGCGACCTCTTTCAATTTCTTGTGCAGATGAAATGTATCGTGTTTCTTTTCATATTGTTCAATTTCATTACATTCTTTACTATGAAATTGTGTTTTCGCGTGTCTTATCTTCTGCCTGATTATTGCGTGGATCCTCTTGTATTCGTTTTTATCTTTATTTCTGACTTCTCTTCTTTGCATAAGAAATAAGCATAGTTATACATATACTGGAATATTCCTTAATAAGAAATAGTACGTTATCTAAAATATTTCAATAACTTATTGTTTGCTCCTAACGCCACCTGCTAACGGATTAATAAAGCATCTTGTTTACTTCTTTACAGACCTGTCAAATTCAGACGAGATTTAATATTAAAATATAAATAAATATCATTTAAGAGTAAATTTAATTAACAAATAAACTCAATAAGATATTTAAAAATATTAATTATTTGTGTGAAATTATTTTAAAACTAGAAGTGTCATAAAAATTTAAACAGATGATTCAACATTCTTGATCACATTAAGTTTATGACTTAAATTTTGACAGTCGTTACGAATCGAATCTGTCATTGATAGATATTCTTTTAATTTATTACTTTTCATTGAACGTCTGTATTTTGTTAGTTATTTTTCATGGAGCTTTTAATTTCAACCTATTTAGAATAAATATATGATGACTAGAAACGAATCGATCGAGACTAGTAAATCGATGTGAAGAATCCCCACATCTTCCCGTGGCGCTAGTTCCGTGAGTTCTCGTCTCAACATTTTACTATAGAGCAAAAAGTAATACAACGCCAGTATAGAAGCTTCGATCAAAAGTAATTGACAATACAATAGCATAAACTGCAAAACCAGATGGGGTATACGAAAAAATCCTAAACTTAATTAACGTGGATATGCTTAAACCTCTATTATTATTACTAAACAAAGTATACCACCGGTATTTATTCCAAAGCATTTGTCATAAGTGACTAATTACTGCTTTATTGTGTTCACTAATTTGATGAGGTGAGCTCGTTCCAGTGGGAGCTAAATACTGGTAAACTCTATGTATCAGGCGATACTTAAGTTTTTAATAGACTACTCCTGGTATAAAGGCTCTGTAGAGAGTGACTATTTATTTCCTGGCTTTTCGTGGTGTGAGAATTAACCAGGAATAAATAAATAATCATCTGGTGGCTATGAATTTGAACCATTAATAAAGAATTATTTGTAAGATGTAGATCACCTATTAAAAAATAATCATGAAAACTACTACAAACCTCTGCAAAGACCGAAGAAAGTTAGCGTGGAAAATGTCTCAGATCTGCTGTAGCAAAGCTTTGATAAAAAAGGAGTGCAAAGCAGGTCCTAAAGCCTATCTAAAATCCATACACTAAATATATAGTATCTATACACTATATATATATAGTATCTATATAAAAATCCTTTAGGTCGCAGTGTGGAAAAATATACTGAGTGTAAAGTCTACAGTCATAATTAACAATGCATAATAATAGGTATGTCTTGATATATCCACAATTTCGATTAATTGGTTAATGCCAATGTTCTGAAAGTCCTAGATACCCGCCAATGCATATACAAAAAACGAAACATAGATAAGTTTACTTTGGATTTCGCACGTGATAGATACGAGTCAGTCTTTAAGTAAGGCATTAGAAATGTTGTGACCAACTAAAAAATGCTGAATCGAATCATAAAAAACCTAAAGGAGAAAAAGACTGAGAATATGGTGACAAAAATTATTACCCTGAATATATGTACATTTTAGTGCAAAGATCAGGTCTTCTAAGAAAGTATATTTAGTATCCGGTTCCGTTTGTTACCTTATCTGGTTCTAAAACGACCTGTTCGAGGTATTTATGTATGTTTCTCCTTAAACTTTTTATGTTGCCCATTTTACAGAGATAGAGATGATATTTCAGTGAGCAGTATCCAGTGAGGAAACCTGTAATGACACTGAGATTATTACTAATTTCCCAAGTAGGCTGCACTAAATTCCTTTTGAAGATCACAAAGCACTATTGAAGACTTGCTGCAAATACTAAATGTTGTAGGGAATTCGACTAAAAAAGTAATGATTATCATATAAACTCTAAATATCCAGGAAAACGTCTTTATATAAAACAAGATAATATTGTTTACAGCCAATGTTTAATAACTATTTATAACGGAATAAGCCACAATTAAAGATAAAAATACGTTTATTGACGTTTCAATTTCCAATTCGGAAATCGTTCTCAAAATACAAACAGTAAATTAAACAAATTTTGTTTTTTGTTACATAGTGAAAAAATTCTTCTAATAATTTAATTTTATCTGACTCATTTATATTGACAATTCAGACATACATTATGCATTTTAAAGTAGACGACTTTAAAATGATATTGCCAATATTGTTGAGTTGCGCTCCTGGGACGACTTTACTTATAAGATAGTTCATTCGATTACATGAAATCAACTTTAACTTGAGAATATCCGTCAGAAAAAAATCATAGCATGTAATTCGTCTTTAAAAAATACTGTTTGTATTTTGAGCACGATTTCCGAATTGGAAATTGAAACGTCAATAAACGTATTTTTATCTTTAATTGTGGCTTATTCCCAGTTATAAATAGTAATTAATTTACAATGCCACAAGAAAATAGCTTCAGGACAATGTTTAATAATTTGAAAACAAACGATCTTGATCATAAAATTGAAATAACTACCTTTTATGTTTGGTATCGGCTCGTTAAAACATATATTTATTCCATATTACTGTACGTAATCAAAACATAGACTCTAAAAATAAATTATATGTGACAACTGTAATATGGATGTTCAAACCACTGCTACAAATCTCGTAGACAAGATACAAAAATACAGTAGCACCTCGATTATCCGTCTCTCTATTAACAGTCACCTCTGTTAACCGCCAGGGTCAGGTGCAGTTATGCCACCACCACATTTTTTTACATAAATAATTTTTGTTCTTATTCAGGGCTCTTGAATAAATTTTAATTTAAATAGGTATGATAAATGATACCGTGCTTTTAGAGTTCTATTTTTATAATCGCAAGCCGAAAATAAAAACGCACAGCACAATAATTATTAGTCAATATCTGTGGGTCACCATAATTCAGTTTGATTCAAATTCGATCATTGTTTATGTCACTTAGTCGTTTGATCAATTAAGTTTTAAAAAATGGAGCCTTCCATATCTGGAGCATCAAAAAGAAAACGTGTTGTTTTGTCAGTTGAAAAAAAAAAAACAATAGAAATTTTTGCAGAACTAAAGAAAGGTGTTTCTGCTGCCGCATTGAATAAAAAGTATGATGTTCCGAGAACAACAATTAATGATTTAAAGAAAAAAGCTGCAGGAATTGAAAAGTACACTTCGCAAATGCAATCGTTGGATGGCCAGGTGAAACATCGTAAGACAACCAAAAAAAGCCACAAATAAATCACTCGACACGGCTCTGTATTTGTGGTTCTTTCAAAAAAGAAGCGAAGATGTTCCTTTGTCTGGACCAATTGTTGCCGAAAAAGCGTTGTTTTTCAACTTGAAATTGATTGGCGATCCTTCATTCAAAGGAAACAGCGGTTGGTTGGAAAAGTTCAAAAATTGCCACATTAAAACACGCAGTCGACAATGCTGTGGATGCTTGGGCTGATTCTTCGGAAGTAACGCTGAAAAAAGCGTGGAATAAATTATGGCCTAAACCAACTCAAGATGAAAATGCCCCTGTGATAGCCCAGCGTGATACGGTTACAAATGAAGATATGGCTGAATCAACTGTTGTGTTTTCGTTGCCTAAAGATAACACAAACAGATAGTTAATATGTGATGAGGACGCAAACGGCTATCGATTGCTGACAGATGATGAAATCGTTGAAATGGCAAACAAGGACAAACTTTGACGATGGCGATGTTGATGATGATATTGCAACTCACAAAGATTTGTGTAAAGAAGCTAGAGAAGATGCATCGCACATACAATAATTCATCGAGTGGTATTATCTGCAAGAAGCAAATAAGGTAAATTTTATGATTTTTTGTCAATCAAGAAATTCAGCCATTGCAAAATGTGAAGTATTAATAAAACAAACAAAGATTTCGGAATATTTTAAATTAAATGAAATAAAACATACAAATAAAATTTGAGAGTTATACTATGATTTTTTTAATGTTCTGTTAACCGTCTTTTCGATTATCCGTCATACCCTTGGTCCGGTGCCTTGACGGATAATCGAGGTTCAACTGTAATGATAAAACATCTCTTACGAATGATAGGAATTATAGATAACGTATAAATATTATTAAAATATGGAAAATAAGCTATGCAGTATATTTGGCTACAAAAAGACGCATTTAAATGGGAAAACTATGGCTTTGAATTTTTGGAGAAAACCTGCTTAAAAATAGAGACCACTGACGGTATGAAATCAGCGCATACGTCTCATTTTGGTACAAGAATTTATAAAAACTCAAATCATTACCCTGAAACACCGAACATAATACATCAAAAATGTAAATGAGCTATGTCATAGAAATCGTGCTTTCAATAATTTTCAAACGGAGTATAGTTATAATTAATGGTAAAATGTCCAATCTTTGGTAAAATAATTGCTTTTGACTTACCTTGAGCTTTAGGAGTAGTTGCCAGACACAGCACAAAAATGAAACTAACAAAAAAGCAAAACTTTATCCATTATTTACAGTTATTCAAATTATTCTAGTTCATTATCTTTTTGGTTGTCATTTGAATTATTAATCGAAACTAATATTAACTATTACATACATACCTTTAACAGTAATTATACATTCCAACGAATTATTTCACCTCATAATAGGAATATTATTGGCCTTTAAATTTCTCTATATTATAATTTTAAATAAACTCATTACCTTTGCGATTTACATCTGTGAAATACACCATTATATCTTGTCTATATGTTTGCTTTGTAATAACTATAATAAATCTTCTTTAGATCAGTTTAAGATCAAAATAACTAATTCTCGAGCTATTCCAGTAGCATAAAACTCTCTAAAAAATTAACATCCTGATGATATCAGTTTATGCATCGACCGAAGAAAAGGGCGATTCAACTAAAGATGTGTTCTGTGGCCGGTTGGAGAAGTGCCTTGTAGCTTTGTCCAGACAAGATGTGACCCTTCTCTTAGACAGACCTTTTTTTTTCAAAAGACATCTCAGTCCAGAACGCCGCCTGACTAAACTTGGTGCAGGATTCGTACTCCCGGCGATAGTTCCCGAGGTACTTTAAAATGCCCTCTTGTCGCCGAGTCTACGCCGAACGCCTACCTGCTAAACCAGACCCTCCTCTGTCATCCAGCGATCTGGAAGTGGAATGGCCACTTTCACTCTCATATACATTCACACTCTATTCATCAGCAAGGAGGCTCCCTGTCTCGTTGCAGGTAGCGCGTAGAAGATCCTTATCGCTCCTAGTTCGGCATCATTCCCAGACGGACATTTCCTCCTTCCCCACAGTCAGACTCACGCATTCTAACTCAACCAGTGTGACCCACTGTTCTAGCTTCACCTTTCAGCATCATTCACTCTTACCTTTGCCGTTGGTCCAGCTGTCTTTCTTCCTCTTCCTTTTTCTTGATCACTGCACGGATATAGCTGTGTATGTTAATCCAACCTAATTTATTTTCAATCATTCTCCCAATCATTTCTCTCACTGTAACAAAATTCACACCTGTCTCTCTCTCCATTCTGCTCCTTTCCACTATCCATCTGCTGCAATCTAACATCGTATGTGTCACAGTGTCCGAGTATCTACAGTATAGACATTCATCTGTATCAGCCTTTCCAATCCTATAGAGGTAGGCCCTAAAACACCTGTGACCTGTGAGCACCTGCGTCAGGAAATAATCCAGTCGCCTATGGCCACAGTCCACCCAAGCTCCTATGTTCAGGATCAACATTTTCGTCCACTGTGCCACATCCTCTGTGTTGTTCCATTCTTCTTGCCATCTCTCAACTGACCTTCCCTTACCTGTCTTCTCTCAGCCACAGTAAAGTTTGGGCCTCTTCTCTCATAAAGCTCTTTTCTTTCCACCGTCAAAACATGCAATGGAACACATCCAGTGATGGTCCACAAGGCTGTCACAGACACAGTCTTGTAGGTGCATGCCACTCGCAACAGACTTCTTCTGTCTACTCGTTTCATTAGACTCCTATAGGCCGTTATCTCTACCGCCTCGCTCCAGACTGGTGCCGCGTAGAGGACGATAGACTATACAACACCGTGTAAGACCCTCCTCCTTTCGGATTTGTGTCATTTCTAGATACTTTATTTGTTTCTTGGGTTTTAGACATACTCCCACACATTTTAATTCAACACCTTGCCTGTTCCTTGTCCCCTTCAGAATAGGCAGACCTAGATTTCCATTAAAGGAATAATGATAAATCACATTGATCATATCATGATTAAAGAAGATGTGGAAGTAGCATTAGGTTTGTTCCAACACAACGAAAAACGGTCACGTAACGGTTACGCTCCTGCGCACTAAAAAAAATACGTTCCAACAAAAATATGATCGTTCATCTCATCGTCCTTCCGACCGTTCCAACAAAAATTGTGATCGCCCAGTGACGGTTTCGTGACGATAATTTCAGTAATCTGGCAAATGCATGTACTGGTTGGGATGACTTGCGCAGTACGATTTTATTCTACTTCTTTAAATTTGTTGGGCCTAGATTAACTTAGATTTTATATTAAAACTGTAAATTTGTTCAAAAAAAAAAAGAAGTTAGGTTAATGATTTTATCAAGTGCTTATGATATTATACTTGTTATTTATTTATATATTTGTTTTTCGTTATTTGTAACTTTATAAATATGACTGACGACGAAGGAATTAGTGATTTTTTTTATTATTATAGAAGTGAGGATGATTTGGAGCTATTAGCCGAACCTAGGGTGAAAACCCAGAATTATTTAGATCGATAGTCACCAAATTATGTCAGTTGTCAGGAAATCGTTCCAACTTTAGTTTACACATTGTGTGTTGAAACACACAATGTGTAACAAATGTGTAAAACAAAAATTGTGTGTTGAAACAAACCTATTATCGACGTTAGAACTCCATGGGGCCTAAATAAAGACAGCGACTCTTTCTGGTTATTACCAAATTCAGACAAAGAATTTCTAAAAAAGAAGAGTAGACCATAACAGATTGTGATTATGGAAGACTGAGATTTTAAAGGACACCAAAAATAAACACTAAATATCAAAAATTACTGCAGAGCACTTTGGGATCCGTAGCATAAATAATTTAAAATTCAATTATTTACTAAATTAAAACTACTGATTATACGAAAAGTAAAGAAGAAAAAAACGAATATCTGGCTTGACGACAAATGCGAGGGAGTCTTAAAGTTAAGGGACCTCTACAACAAAGGAAGAGCTTTACCACAAATAAAAACCCAACGTTTAGGTAGGATTTTTTCCACTCAGAACTTTCGTAAATTCCAAATTTTGTGTTTGACTTCTGGGTGGCACTATCCCTCTGTGGACTTGAACTATAATTTCTTCAGTGATTTTTTAGATAAGCTTGTCTGTATTTTCAATAAGGCATTTTCTTTAACTACAATTAAATCAAAATATCATAAATCAAAAATATAAAGAAAATTGGAATACTTGGGGCACATAATGAGAGGTGAAAAGTACGAACGACTAAGGAATATAATGCAGGGTAAAATCAAAGGTAGAAGAAGCGTAGGAAGACGTAAAATCTCGTGGCTACGCAATCTCCGTGAGTGGTTTGGATGCAGTTCAATTGAACTATTCAGGCGAGTAACCAATAAAATTATAATTGCCAGAATGATCTCCAATCTCCGATAGGAGTCGAACTTAAAGAAGAAGAAGAATCATAAATCCGGGACTACCAAAGGTATCCTTATATCAGCCAAGAATATGCGTTCACTACTGTACATCAAGAAATTTACTAAAAATGTCGTTGTCACTGAATAGATCTCAAAGTACAGAGGAAACAACTACAAAAATGTACTATAAGAATCGTCTGGGAAGCTTTAAAAATTTTGTAAGGGAAACTTCCATAATAAACGTCCATAATAAACGATCTTCAAAATAAAACTAACACAGCTTAAACATTTTCTCTTACAAATCCTAAAAATCTAAATAAATACTTCGTTAATGTGAGTAAAACTATAACTTTAGCTATTTTGTCTTAAGTCTTGAATTCATTCTTTATAAGACCAGTTGATAAATCTGAACTGATCCGATCAATCAGTAGTATCAAAAACAAATCTTCCTGTAGTAACCTCTTCATAAGGGTGGTGAAAAATTTTATGTTCGCAACTATAAACCTATTTCTTTACTATCAGTCCTATCCAAAATTATTAAGAGATGTATAGAAGCCCGACTTTATGTCCTTTTGGTATTTTTATAGACAGCAACCTTAAATTGTCACTTCATATCGATTTGTTAAGTAAGAAACTAGCCTCAGCCTTCAAGAAAATCAATTTAGCATCTTCCAAAATAACATACTTTTCTCTGTTCGAGTCTCATCTTAGATATGGCTTTTCTTTTTGGGGTTCTAGTACAGCTGCCCAATTTAAAGCTATTTTTTTAGTTTAAAGTTTATTTTTAAAGTAACATTTTTAAATGTAACAATAAAACACTGAAAACTTTGTTTATAAACTTCCACAAAAATTTATTTTAACTCTTATCACTAGAGCTGTTTCGGCTGATTGCCTTTCTCAATTTCTCATTATATTGTTACATAAAATGAATTTCCATCAAGTAACGGTCGAATCCATCAATTATTTTTAAATTATAAAAAAGAGCAATACGGTATCTTAGCTACTTCAATAATCACAGGATTTTAACTCTTCCCTCTCTATATATTCTAGAAACTGTTTGCCTAATTCGTAAACACCTACATGTTTTTCTGACAAGATTTAACCATGACTACTCCATCAGAAATTCAACCTTTGATGTGTATTTACCGATCCCGTCCACTAAGTTAGTAAAGAAATCTATATTATATTCGGCAAAAAAAATATACAACCATCTCCCTTGGCAACTTAAATCTACAACTTCTTTCCTTAAGTTTCGTAAATTGACCAAATCCTATATATTTGAAAGACCTTATTATTCAGTGGAAGAGTTTCTTAACGAATAACTAAGAAATTACAGTACGTTTAGGTTCAAGCAACAAAGTATATATATATATATATATATATATATATATATATATATATAAAGATATATACAGATATATATATATATATATATATTATATATATATATATATATATTATATATATATATATATATAATATATATATATATATTATATATATATATATATTTGGGTATCGTATGCATCAGCTTAAACTAATTCGTAAACTAGTTCGTTTGATTATATTATACAATTTAGTCCTGTCTGAAGATGACGTCTGAGAAAACTCCTTTTTCGACTGTGAAGATCTCGGACAGTTCATGTTCTAATCGTACTGTTGCATTTTGTTGGAGATATAGGTTTGAGATCAGTCTTACCATCGAGTCCCGATATTTTTAGGATATCGATTAGTTTCTCATGTAGGACTTTATCAAATGCCTTTTCGAAATCAATGCAACATGCATACACGTCGCAGTTGACATTCCTGGCTCTCTGTATTAGAACGTACAA